GGGTCCACTGTACTATGGAGGTGTGGTACCCGGACGGAGGGAAAACATTACGTCACTCCCCTTAATACATAACACTTTTGTTTACAATTCTTGGCTTGAATTATTCATTACTTTTCCCTTTGTTTATCATGGCATCTAAAGGTGGTTGTTAGAAATGATTGAACTCAGTGAACATGGTATGTCGATGGTAATAATATGGCTCTGGGCCACATTAAATATCATGTAGCTATGTAGGTAGGTGTAGGTATGTAGCCCAGGCAGACTACATACCTACATTATTATTATAACTGATAATTATACGTATGTGTACCTGTACCTAAGTAAACTTACACACTGTGCTGGCATGCAGGTACACATTAAAATCACAAAGAGTGTCTTATTAGTCTTGAATATGCCATATTAATAATGATAATAATAACACAATAATAATCACTCTAAGGAACATTAAATATCATATAAAACGTTAATATAGACATTTTGCTTAATCCATCTAAATACACCCCACAGTAGAATAAATTAATATAAATATGAGATGTGGTAGCCAGGCGACTTGTAGGACTTGTGGTAGCCAGGCAACTTGTAGGACTTGCAGTAGCCAGGTAACTTGTAGGACTTGTGGTAGCCAGGCAACTTGTAGGACTTGTGGTAGCCAGGCAACTTGTAGGACTTGTGGTAGCCAGGTAACTTGTAGGACTTGTGGTAGCCAGGCAACTTGTAGGACTTGCGGTAGCCAGGTAACTTGTAGGACTTGTGGTAGCCAGGCAACTTGTAGGACTTGCAGTAGCCAGGTAACTTGTAGGACATGTGGTAGCCAGGCAACTTGTAGGACTTGTGGTAGCCAGGTAACTTGTAGGACTTGCAGTAGCCAGGTAACTTGTAGGACATGTGGTAGCCAGGCAACTTGTAGGACTTGTGGTAGCCAGGCAACTTGTAGGACTTGCAGTAGCCAGGTAACTTGTAGGACATGTGGTAGCCAGGCAACTTGTAGGACTTGTGGTAGCCAGGCAACTTGTAGGACTTGCAGTAGCCAGGTAACTTGTAGGACTTGGTAGCCAGGAACTTGTAGGACTTGCAGTAGCCAGGTAACTTGTAGGACTTGTGGTAGCCAGGCAACTTGTAGGACTTGCGGTACCCAGGTAACTTGTAGGACATGTGGTAGCCAGGCAACTTGTAGTCCAACATCAGAGAAAATGTGTCACTATAATATTACTGGAGGTAACTAGAAAATTATTCCTTTTGTATGCCTTCACTCAGGGTGTCATTTGTTCTAAAAATGGTGTTACATGAGAATGGGAGTGTTACTCTTTACTTACTCTACTGTATCAATGTGGAGACAACTTGTACACAATGTAAACTGAAGAAAACCAGATGTGTTCATCTGGTTTGTTTACATTATGTGTGGGTGGGGTGGGGAGGGCAGCCCCTTCCTGGCTACCCATACTTCCCAACTTGACTTCATACAGATAAAACTCACCTCTCACCCTACATTAAGACTACATATATTTTAAGATAATTAATGAGTGTACTATATATGCATTTTATTGATCTAGGGAGCTTAACCCTTTCAGGGTCGACAGGCCTTCTCCTAAACTTGTTCTCGGGGTTGAAAATTTTTCGAAAAAAAAATTATTTTTTCTTGTGAAATGGTAGAGAATCCTTTCCCGATCATAATGACACCAAAAGTATGAAATTTGATGGAAAACTTACGGAATTATGCTCTTGCGAAGTTAGCAGTCTCGACAATGTTCACGCATCGGCGATTTTGCCCATTTTGAGCCCTATTTTCCACCAATTCCAGTGTACCAGTCGACAAAAATCATAACTATTTTGCTAGAACTCCATTTTTTCTATCTAATGAGTACAAGAAACCACCCATTTACCGATTTCAACTATCCAATAAAGTGGTCAGAAATTGGCAATTTTGCCAATTTCACACAAATTTCAAAAGATGCCAATTTTCAGTTAGGGTCCAGAATAAACAAGACAGACATTCCTGGCACTAAAATAACATTTTTTCTCTTCATTAGTTATGTTCCCAGGCCTTTCCACTTTGAATTTTTATTCTCATGACAAAATAGATTTATGTACTGCTATGCAGACTACTGCATTAGTGTAGAAATGGTATAAATAATATCAGCACACTTGTGAAAGAATATTAGACTCGCCAGTTGACTTGTATTGGACACGTGGCATGATTTGTTTACTTCTGAACTTTGGCAAAAATCAAACATTTCTGCTACTTTGAGCTCAATTTCAAGGTACTTTTCATTGTGAAACCAATCAAAATCATCTCAAATTTCTGTAAAATGTCTTCCATTCTATAAAATGAGACCAGGAAACCTAGAATACAACCATAAATATCATACGAAAATACACTGCAGAGTCGCTGTTTTAAAGCAAAAACACGTTCGGAGCTTTTTTTTTCTCATTATGCACTGTGTGCTGCAGGATTTTTTTTATGCTGTGCACACTGAACGCCGTACTAGTACGGCACCAACCCTGAAAGGGTTAATATCATAGTAGGTATAAGTGGCCAGGCAGGATGCCATACCTCCCATACGACTTTCTACAAATAAATACTTTTCACTTCTTACCCTACATTAACCCTTTGACTGTCGCGGCCGTATATATACGTCTTACGAGGTACTGTGTTTGACGTATATATACTCATAAATTCTAGCAGCTTCAAATCAAGAAGGAGAAAGCTGGTAGGCCCACATGTGAGAGAATGGGTCTGTGTGGTCAGTGTGCACCACATAAAAGAAATCCTGGATCACGCAGTGCATAATGAGAAAAAAAAACTCCGACCGTTTTTTTTAATTAAAATGCCGACTTTGTGGTCTATTTTTGTATAGTATTTATGGTTGTATTCTCGTTTTCTTGGTCTCATTTGATAGAATGGAAAACATATTATAGAAAAGGAGATGATTTTGATTGATTTTACTATTAAAAGAACCTGGAAATGGAGCTCAAAATAGGGGAAATGTTTGATTTTTGCCGATGTTCAAAAGTAAACAAATGACATCATTGTCCAATAAATGTCCAGCTAGCCATTCTAATATGCAGTCATGAATTGGTTGATGTTATTTATACAATTCTTACAGTATTGGAGTAGTCTGCATAATAGTAAATCTTCTATTTTTTGTTTGAATAAAAATTCAAAATAGAAAGCAAGAGTAATATCAGAGGGGCCTGGAGACATGACTGATGAACAAAGAAAATGTTATTTTAGAGCCAGGAATGTCTGCATTGTTCATTCTGGACCTTATTTTGAAATTGTCATATTTTTTAATTTTCGTGAAATTGGCCAAATTGCAAATTTCTGACCACGTTATTGGGTAGTTGAAATTGGTAAATGGGCAGTTTCTTGTACTCAATTGATAGAAAAAATGGAGTTCTAAAGAAATAGCTATGAGTTTGGTCGACTGGAAGAATGGAATTAGCCAAAAATAGGGCTCAAAGTGGGCGAAATCGCCGATTTGTAAATATCGCCAAGGTCGCTAACTTTGTGAGATGGTAATTCCGTCAGTTTTCCATCAAATTTATTTTTTTTGGTGTCATTACAATCGGGAAAAGATTCTCTATCATTTCATAAGAATTTTTTTTTTTTTTTTTTAATTTTGCGACACCAGGAGACACCTCAGGATTGGGGGTTGCGACAGTCAAGGGGTTAAGACCATTAACCCTTTCAGGGTCGGCAGGCCCTCTCCTAAACTTATTCTCAGGGTCAGAAATTTTTTGAAAAAAAAAAAAAAAAAAAAAAAAAATTCTAGGCACCAACCCTGAAAGGGTTAAGACTACATATATTTTAAGGTAAGTAATTCGTGTACTGTATATGCATTTTATCGCTCTAGGGAGCTTTAAGCATCGTAGTATAGTATGTGTGGGTGGGGTGGCCAGGAGGGCTACCACATCTGACTTCTTACAGTAAATACTTCTCACCTTTTGTCCTACATTAAGACTACAAATATTTTGAGATAAATAATGAGTGTACTGTGTGTGTATTTTACTTTTCAATGCCTAGTTCTATTGCTAACTTAATATATGTTAGTGTAAACTTGCTATCTGGCATTTATATGCATTTACAAATGGAAAAAAATGGAGTTCTGCTTTCCGGCAAAGTATGCTTTCCACCAGTAACCTGGAACCTACCCCGCTGAATAAGTGGGGCCCTACTGTATTTGGTTTGAAATACGTATTCATTGTGTGCCCTCAGGGCCCCACCCCAAAATCATACTCTTTTATGTACTGAATGTTTAGAACAGGTTAGCGACAAGATTTTGTTTAGATTTTTAACCCAGAAGGCTAGCCACCAGGATAACCCGATAAAGTCAGTGCACCATCTGGGATTATCTATCTTATTTCCTTTGGGGTCCTTGAATATTGTCACCTAGGGTGCAGCCTGCAACAGTTGGCTAACACCCAGGTACCTACTTATTGCTAGGTGAACATGGACATCAGGTAAAAGGAAACATGCCCAACATTTCCACCTGTGCCAGTGATTTGACCATGGACACTTGGTGTGTGAGCCAAGTGCACTGCTAACTGAGCCACAGAATGCCCATGTACTTTATATAAAAGGATAGTTTTTTCAATGAACTGGCTGTATCCCACTGAGGCAGGGTGACCAAAAAAAAAAAAGTTTTTCTTTTCAAAATAAGTGATTTATACAAGAGAAGGGATTACTAGCCCCTTGCTACCAGCATTTTAGTCACCTTTTACAACAAGCAAGGTTTACAGAGGAAGAATTCCTTTTCGCTTTCCTATGGAGATAGAAGAAATAAAGAAGAACAAGAACTGTTAAGAAAATAGAAGAAAGCCCAGATGGGTGCATAAATATATATGTGTGTACATGCATGTGTGTAGTGTGACCTAAGTGTAAGTAGAAGTAGCAAGATATACCTGTTAATAAAAGGTTGGTGTTGCATTATATTTTTGAGGTTGTGTGCTTTTTCACTTAATTTTGTTTCTCATACTTCTTTTGCTTTCATTGGTTACAGTGACAACCCATATCATTTTGTGATACCAGTGTCACCCCTTGCTCCAAGCACTAATGTGGAGGAACTGATTCGTGACAGTCAAAGTGACACTAGCAACAGCGGGTTCCTCTCTCCTCAAGATACAGGAAAGGCTATATGTGCCCTCACTCAGCTTGTAGATAGGTGAGATGATGACTCATTAAGTGCTTACCAAGCTTCTTTCAAGAGCACCACAAGTTCTAGGAATATATGTTAAAATTGTAGTACCAAACTGTTTTATGAAGTTGATAAGGTAAGTGACACCTGTAAAAGCAAAAAATAGTTTGCAAAATTATATAGTGCAGTACTGAAGTTCACTGAAGTACCTAATGGGTAAGGGATCACTAGTACAGTATTGTAATCATTGTACTGTACCTCTTTATAGTCAAACTTATTACTAATACAATAATATGGGTAAGATATATCATTGAATTCAACTGTCTGCACTCCAAATTCTCTTCATAATATTAACCCTTTCATGGTCCAGAAGCCAAATTTCAAAGTGTGCACCAGAGTCCAAGAATTTAAAAAAAAAAAAAATTATTTTTCTTATGAAATGGTAGAAAATATTTTTCTGAAGGTAAAAAACAAAAAAGTACGAAATTTGATGGTAAATTGATGAAATTATGCTCTCACGAATTTTGATGTGTCAGCGATATTTATGCATCGGCAATTTTACTGACTTTGATTCCCATTTTAGGCCAATTACATTATTCCAGTCGACCAAACTCTTAGCTATTCCACTAGTATTACTTCTATTCTATCGATTGAGCACAAGAAATCGCCAACTAAAATTATCAGAAATTGGTAATTTGGCCAATTTAACACAAAGGCCAAAATATTCTAATTTCAAAATAGGGTCCAGAATAAACAATGCAGGAATTCCTGGCACTAAACTAACATTTCCTCTGTTCATTAGTTATGTTTTCAGGCTTTACAAATAAATTTCATTTTGATTTTTTATTCACATAATGAATTTTTATTCAAACCAAAAATAGAAGATTTGCTGTTATGCAATATTGTAATAATTGTATAAATAATATCACCACATTTGTGAACATATATTAGACCCACCAGCTGGCGTGTATTAGACATGTGTGGTCATTTGTTTACTCTTGAACATCAGCAAAAATTTAACATTTCTGCTACTTTGAGCTCAGTTTCAAGCCATTTCCAATACTAAAACCAATCAAAATCACCTCTATTTCTGTAATATATCTTCCATTCTATCAAGTGAGACCTAGAAAATGCAAATACAACTAAAAAAAAAATTGGAAAAAACAGTTCAAAGTCGCTGTTTTAATAGAAAATTACGGTCTCAGTTTTTTTCTCTCATTATGCACTGTGTGCTGCAGGATTTGTTTTATGTGGTGCACACATACCACATAGATGTGTTCTCACATATCTAGGCCCAAATTTACCACTCACAGCTTATCAGAGTGAGCTGAGCTCATAGCATGGATCTACAGTTTAGACCCTCAACTCAAAGCTGTAGAACTTCGGCATGGACCCTGAAAGGGTTAAGAGCAGTGGGTGGTGAAAATATGCAGAAAATTTGGAGCTTAGGAATTAGAAGACTATGTGGAGTTAAAGATATAATTCATAGAACAGATGATAAATTAAGGTAGTTTTGTCATTTAGAAAGAAGTAGAATAAGATGACCAAGAGGGGGAAATGAGCCTGGGATGCAATGAAGGATGGGTAGGGGTTGGCTCAGGATTGGTTGGAGGAAGGGGGTAAGTAAAGGAGGTTTTGAGTGGTAAGAGCTTGAGCAACCAACCGGCAGTGTGAGCCTCAAAGGGAGAGAAGTAGTTTTTGTGGCTTGTTGTGCTGTTGGAGAGTAAGCAGTGAATCATTTATGAAAGGATTCTAGGAAACCAGTTAGCCAGACTTCAGTCTTGAAGGTGAGAAGTACAGTGCCTGCACTCTGAAGAAGTGTTGCAGTTCAGAGGTCATTTGAATTGTAATGTCTATGCACTTCTGGCAAAACAGCTATTGAATGAGTGATTGGAAATGTCTCTCAGCCCTCAGAGGGTTCAGTCCCTCAGAGGGCTGAGAGATCCCCCCCTCTTTACTGGAGATTTTTCTCTACAGGGGGGGGGGGGTGAGTCACCTGGCATTGGTGGGAGACTACTGGTGTGGTAAAAAAAATTCTTGTTAAATGTTCATACTCACAGTTCTCTATAATATCATTTTTTTTTAACATGTCAATCATTTCCCACCGAGGCAGGGTGACCCAAAAAGAAAAATCCAAAAAAGAAAGAAAAAAATCTTTCCCCATCATTCAATGCTTTAACCATCACTCATACATAATCACTGTCTTGGCAGAAGCACTCAGTTACAATAGTTTAGATAGTCACTCCAAACTGCCAATATCCCAAACCCCTCCCTTAAAGTGCAGGCATTGTACTTCCCATTTCCAGGACTCAAGTCTGGATAATTGGCTTCCCTGAATCCCTTCTCAAAATATTACATTGCTCACACACTAACAGCTCATCAGGTCCAAAACACCGCTCGTGTCTATTCACTCCTATCTAGCACCCTCAATCACGCTTACTGAGAGTCCAAGCCCCTCACCCACAAAATCTTTATCCCCTCCCTCCAACCTTTTCGAGAATGGCCCCTACACCGCCTTTCTTCCCCTACACATTTATATGCTCTCCAAGTCATTCTACTTTGTTCCTTTCTCTCTAAATGGCCAAACCACCTCAACAACCCCTCTTCAGCCCTCTGACTAATACTTTTAGTAACCCCACACCTCCTAATTTCCACACTACAAATTCTCTGCATAATATTTACACACTGTGCCCATAGACTCAACATCTCCAGCCTCCTCCTTGCTGCAGCATTTACAACCCATGCTTCACACCCATAGAAGAGTATTGGTACCACTATACTCTCGTACATTGCCTTCTTTACCTCCATGGATAACGTTCTTTGTCTCTACAAATACCTCAACACACCACTCACCTTTTTTTCCTTCATCAATTCTATGGTTAACCTCATCTTTTATAAACCCATCCACTGACACATCAACTCCCAAATATCTGAAAACATTCACTTCTTCCATACTCTCTCCCTCCAATGTGATATCCAATTTTTCTTTCTCCAAATCACTTGATACCCACATCACCTTACTCTTATCTATGTTTATTTTAAACTTGAGTGCTAGCTAAATTTGAGGGTCCTTTGTTTAAAACAAGAAAAAAATTTTCAGGTTGTTTGATGATGCTTCTACGAAGTTGAACATGACATCGTTGGTGAGCTTCCTAGCAGAGCTGTGTGCAGCATCTCAAGCTCAGCTGTTCTCCCGGATGACTCCACAGACTCCAAAGAGAGGGCTTATCAAGTGGCCAAGAAAGGTGTGTATTGTGAAGTTTGTGAAAACTATTTTGTAGTTACAAGAGTAGAGCTATACTTCTGGTGTTCTGTCTTCACCCTTTCACTGTGACTTGCATAGATCTACTTGATTAGGGTCAGTGACACTTAACCCTTTTGTGGTCATTGCTCTAGTACTACAGTTTTGATGTCAGGGTTCGTGCCCTAGAATTACGTGATGAGCTTAGCTCACTCAGATAAGCTGTGAGCAGTAAATTTTGGGCACCATATAATAAAATCCTGCTCCACTAAGTGCGTGGCAGAAAAAAAATTGGTTTAAAATAGCGACTTTGTGGCTAATTTTCAGGTGGTTTTTATGGTTTTATTCTAGGTTTCTTGGTATCATTTGATAGAATGAAGATATACTACAGAAACAGAAATGATTTAGATTGGATTCAGGACTGGAAGCAGTTTGAAATTGAGCTCAAAATAGTGGAAATATTTGATTTTTGCCGATATTCCCGAGGGCCCTAATTATATCACTCGTCCAGTACGTGTCTAACACACATCCGACTGGTCAATCTAATACATATTCATGAATGCACTGACATTATTTATATAATTATTACAATAATTATATACCTAGGTAGTAGGTATATAATTATATACCTAGGTAGTAGGTTGGTAGACAGCAACCACCCAGGGAAGTACTACCGTCCTGCCAGATGACTGTGAAACAAAAACCTGTAACTGTTTTGCATGATGGTAGGATTGCTGGTTTTCTTTTTCTGTCTCATAAACACGCTAAGATAACAGGGATATCTTGCTACTCCTACTTACACTTTGGTCACACTTCACAGACACGCACATGCATATATATATACATACATCTAGGTTTTTCTCCTTTTTCTAAATAGCTCTTGTTCTTTTTTATTTCTTCTATTGTCCATGGGGAAGTGGAAAAGAATCTTTCCTCCGTAAGCCATGCGTGTCGTATGAGGCGACTAAAATGCCGGGAGCAATGGGCTAGTAACCCCTTCTCCTGTATACAATTACTAAAAAAGAGAAGAAGAAAAACTTTATAAAACTGGGTTGCTTAAATGTGCGTGGATGTAGTGCGGATGACAAGAAACAGATGATTGCTGATGTTATGAATGAAAAGAAGTTGGATGTCCTGGCCCTAAGCGAAACAAAGCTGAAGGGGGGAGGAGAGTTTCAGTGGGGGGAAATAAATGGGATAAAATCTGGAGTATTGGAGAGTTAGAGAAAAGGAAGGGGGGTGCAGTAATTTAAAAGATCAGTTGGAAGGGGAAAAAAGAGAATATGAATGTGAAAAATTCAAGAATTTGGGGGTTAAAGAAAGGTTGGATGCGAGAAGTGGGTCATAAAAGGGTTTTTTGGCCCCTGGGAAGAGGGGAAAGAAGGAGAGAGAGATTTGGGAGATGTTAAGTGAATGTATGGGGACCTTTTGACCAAGTGAGAGAGAATTGTGGTGGGGGAAATTGAATGTAAAGTGGAGAACTTTAGAGAGGGGGGTAGTAAGTTTGGGGTCCGGGGGGAAATGAAAGGGAGCCCTTTGATTAACTTTGTATAAAAAGGGGGTTTATTTTGGAAATACATTTTTTAAGAAAAAAGAGGAAAAAAAATTTTAAACACGTTTTGATTAGGGCGAAATGACAGTAGTTTGTGGATTTGTATTGGTAGAAAAAAGACTGTTGAGAATTCGGAGTACATGTTTTTTGAGGGGCCCAGATTATCAATCACTTTCTAGTTTAGCTCACTGAGATAAAAGGTAGTGGGATACAAGGAGATAGAAGCTCAGGGGGGAGAGGTGAAGGTTTTAAACTAAAAGAGGAGGCGTTAGGGTAAGATATAAAAATTATTGGGGATAGATGGGCTAATGAAGCAAGGAAAGGGGGCGAAGAGGGATGGGGTAGGGTTTAAAAAAGTTGTGTTAGAGGTTCAGGAAAAAGTTTTGGTGGTTACAGGAAAAATGGGGGCAGGAGGGAAGGGAGCGATTGTGGAATGATGATTAAAGGAGTAGTTAAGGGAGAAAAAGTTTGATATGAGAAATTTTTTTTCAAAATGAAGTGATGCAAGGAGGAAGAGTAAGGGAAAAAAAAAGAGAAGTTTTTGAGGGGTGAAAATGTAAAAAGAGGCAAATGAGAGGTTTGGGGGAATGTTATCAACAATTTTTTTTGAAAATGAAAAATTTTTTGGAGTGAGATAACGTTAAGAAAGCCTAGGGAAAAAAATGGATTTGTCAGAAAAATAGGAGAGGAGAGTTTTTAAAGGGAGTTAGGGGATTGGGAAAATGGGGGGAAAATTTTGGGAATTGTTTAAAAATTGGAAGAAAAAGGGGCGTGATTTCGTGATAGGGAAGGAGGAATAAATCTTGTGGAGTGAGGAGAGCCATTGTGAGTGTGGGGGAAGTTGTGGGCAGTAGGGAAAAAGAAAGGGGGGAAGGCAGCGGGATTGATGGGTAAAAATAGAAAGTTAAAAGCAGGTGGGGATATAGTTTTGGAGTGGTTGGTGCAATTTTTTAATAAATGTATGGAAGAGGGTAAGGTACCTAGGGATTGGCAGAGAGCATGCATAGTTCCTTTGTATAAAGGCAAAGGGGACAAAAGAGAGTGCAAAAATTATAGGGGATAAGTCTGTTGAGTGTACCTGGTAAAGTGTATGGTAGAGTTATAATTGAAAGAATTAAGAGTAAGACGGAGAATAGGATAGCAGATGAACAAGGAGGCTTTAGGAAAGGTAGGGGTGTGTGGACCAGGTGTTTACAGTGAAACATATAAGTGAAAAAGTATTTAGATAAGGCTTAAAGAGGTCTTTGTGGCATTTATGGATTTGGAAAAGGCGTTTTGACAGGGTGGATAGGGGGGGCAATGTGGCAGATGTTGCAAGTGTATGGTGTATGGAGGTAGGTTACTGAAAGCAGTGAAGAGTTTTTACGAGAAGTGGGGCTAAAATTAGAGTATTGGGAAAGAGGGAAATTTTTTTTCCCAGAAAAAGTAGGCCTTAAAAAGGGAGTGGATTCACCGTGGTTGTTTAAATATTTTTATGGGGGGTTTGTAAGAGAAGAAATGCAGGGTCTTGGAAAGAGGCTGGAGTTAAAAGATAATAAATCACAAAAAAGGGGGGTTTTCACAGTGCTTTTTGCTGAGACACTGTGCTCTTGGAGATTCTAAAGAAATTTGCAAGATTGGGGATGAATTTGGAGGGTGTGAAAAAAAGAAAATTAAAGGTGAAAACAGGAAAGAGAAGGTTTTGAGGTAACAAAAAGTTTAGGTGAAAGATTAATATCGATTGGGGAGAGAGTATGGGGAGGTAAACGTTTTTCGATTTTTGGGGGTGGACGTGTCGGGAGGGTCTAGAAAGATGAGGTAAAATATAGAATTGATGGGGGGAAAAAAAGTGAGTGGTGCATTTAGGACGTGGAGACAAAAAACTTTGCCCTTGGGGCAAAGAGGGGAAATTAATGAAAAGGTTTTCCCACCCCTTTTAAGGGGTGTGAAGCGGGGGTGATAATTTGCAGCGAGGAGAAGGCTGGAGGCAGTGAGATGTCGTGTCGGGGCAATGTGTGGTGTGAATATAATGCAGAAATTTTGTATTTGGAATTTAGGAGGAGTGGGGGTTTACCAAACTGTTGTCCAGGGGGCTGGGGAAGGGGTTGTTGAGGTGGTTCGGCATGTAGAGAGAATAGCGAAACAAATGCCTTCAAGGTGTATCATCTGGGGGAAGGGAAGGGCGGGGTAGGGGCGCCTAAAAAGGGTTGGAGAGAGGGGAGTAAAGGAGGTTTTGTGTGCGAGGGTTGGATTTCCCCAGCAGGCAGCGTGAGCGTGTTTGATAGGATGAATGGAGAAAAGGGTTTTTAAACTTGACGTGTGGGGGAGGGGAAAAAAGAAATAAATTTATGAAGGGATTCGGGAAACCGGGGGCCCGGACTTGACCCTGGAGAGGGAAGTCAGTGCCTGCACTCGAAGGGGGGGTTTTTAATTTTGGGCAGTTTAAAAATTTGTAGTGTAAAGCCCCTTCGAAAGACAGTGATGGAGGGGAAATGTGGTGAAATTTTTTTTTTTTTTTGGGGCCACCCTGCCTTGGTGGGAACGGCCAAGTGTGATAAAAAAAAAAAATAAATAATAATAAGTAATCTGCAAAACAGTAAATCTTCTTTTTGTGTGGAAAAAAAAAATTCAAATGGAAGAAAGATAATATAGGAGGGCCGGGGGACAAAACTAATAAACAAGAAAATTTTTAGTGCCAAGAATGTTGTTTTATTTAAATCTTAGCCCTATTTTTAAAATTGAAGTTTTTTTTAATTTTGGTAAAATTGGCCAAATTACCAATTTTTAAATTTTTATTGGGGGTTGAAATAGTTAGATGGACGTTTTTTTGGTTTCAATCGATAGAAGGGAAAGCATGTAGGAAAATGCTAAAAATTTTAGTTGACGGGAACGGGGAATTTGGGCCTAAAATAGAACTCAAGTGGGGAAAAAAAGCTGGGGCAAAAAATATTTGAGACCACGGGGCTAGCAAAAGCATGTTTTGTAATTTTTCCATAAATTTTGTTTTTTGGTGCCATCCTTTAAAAAAGATTCTCGTTTTCATAATTTGAAAAAAGTGGAACCCCAGATTTGCCCTTAATCCTTTTCCGAAGGGCAGCGAAATCCAAAGGCGGGAAAAACCGAAGCCATATTTTTCCCTAAAAATAATTAAAACAATTAAATTTTTCCCTTGGGATAAATAAAATTTAGCATCAATTACCCATGAAGACTTTTGGGGTTTACGGCGAGGAGGGGGAGGGAAGAGGAGGACATTTTTTGGGGGGAACCCCAAAGGGAGGATTAAAACCCTTTGGGGACTTTCCCCCTTTGTTTTTAAACCCGGTGTACACAAAACTGTCCAGAATTTTTTTGGCATTTTTAAGTTTGGAAATTTGGGTTGTCCTTTCTAGGTTTACGTTTAGGGTAAAGTGATTAGTAAGGGGGGGTACTTTAAAAATTGAGTGGGATAGTTGGGTAGTTTTAAAAAAGGGGTG